AGTTTCTATTATCTAATATCCATGTGCATTATATTATTATACCAAAGTGATGTATTCATACATCATTAATATCTTTATACCAAAAGATATTAATGATGTATGTAGATAGAGCGAACAGTATAATAGATATTAATGATGTATGTAGATAGAGGGAACAACTTGTCATAGGCAAAATCAGAATTGGAAAATATCTTTCATTTTTAAATAGTAATAGTATCCCAGTTTACAAATGAGGAAGTAATGGAAGAAAATCACTGTTTTCCAACTCCTGTGAAGCACTACTGAACATTGATTCTCAGTGGTGGTTAAGCATACAAAACCCAGAGCTAATTAAGTATCACTTACTCCTGATGGCAGTATACAAGACTATCAACTAACTAGGCAATCCAAAAGTCAAATCTGAATTTGATAAAGTCTCTAGAACTAATTATGAAGTGACAGGAAATACAGGGAACAAAGGAACATGTTAATCATGCCATCAGCAAAATGTGGATTTGGGGATAATCTATATGGCAAAGCAGCAGGTTCCTTAGCAAATAAATTGCAAGGGAAAAATAAAGATGGAAGAAGAAATTTCAGACTTAAAAAGACAATACCTGTCAACTAATTGCAGAATCTACTTGAAGTGCAAATAAATYTTGGAGACATTTAGAGGAATTTAATGCACATGGATATTCGATAATATAAAGTAGTTATAGTTCATATTTAGATGTAATAATATTTTGATTCTGTTTAAAATTAGGATACATGTCTTTTAGAGAAACATGCAGAAATGTTTGTGGATGAAATAAGAATAATACTGAGAAGTTGCTTCAAAATAATCCAAAATGATTATGGATACAGGTAAAGCAAGCTTTGAATAAATTAATAATCATTGATACTGGTGATATGTGAGGTTTTGCTGCACATTTTTCTCGACTTTTATGTACATTTGAAATTTTCCATAGCCAAAAGTTAAAAAAAAAGTTTTGTATGTATTCTAAAAGGAAGTAGTTCAAAAGTTCTGATAATACGAGAGGAATGGAGGAAAAGGTCAGTGTTCACAGGAAAACAAACTGGTCCCATTTCCCAGTTGAATTGTGCTCACTAGCTAGTTAGTGTTCTGATGGACCTACTCTGGAAACATCAGCCAAGTAGAACATGTGCTGTGGAGTCAAGAACAACAGAAGCAAGTTGGTTCCTCTCTGGAAGCAACTATCATCTCCACTGTCATCATCAGAGCACCAGAAGCAGTGATGGTTAGGACCCAACATTTGAGCAGTATTCTGCAGTGTGCAAGATGTCTTACATGTTTTTYAGCTCACCTTCAATCAGAGCCTTATGAGTCAGATAATATTTTCCTCACCTGAGACCAGGAATCTGGAACTCTTCCATGTAACTTGACCAGAGCATAGGTAGCAGAACTGGAGTTCCAATGTTATCTTCATCTTCATTATATGTTTGCTGTTTTTTCCTCACTATTGACTGTAGAGCAGCCAAAACAAGCATTTATGTCTTTTAAAAGTTGCCTATTTTAGCACAGGCTATACTATTTATTCCACATGTAGATTTCTTTCAGGATAGACATTTAACCATCACATGTAATTGATAAGAAACAACTCATACCTTGTTAGTGGTGATCCCATTGAACATGAAGATTATTCAGATTTAGAGGAACAAATACCTAACTAGTCAACAAGTTTCTACACATTATTCTAGGCACTGTGCTGAAAGCATAATCTAATATTGTGTTGGGAGTCAAAGTGGGAGAAGAGAAGATATTRGTTTCTCTCTCTCTTTTTTTCAACTCTTAGAGCAAAATACATGGTGTCTTCTCACTTGTAATCATCTTAACCCATTTAGTCCCAAGATTTCAATTCTGAGAATATTTTAATAAAATTGACAGTGCATAGGGTAGAAATCATGGTCTAGAACTTATAGATATTATGTTAATATTATACTATACTATAGTTATATTCTTATGTGTGTATACATATATATGACATACTATATATATATTATATACTAAAGTTTTATAGGTGTTCCATATCTGAGATTATAGGACAAAATGGGTTAAAGCAGTATAAGTTACCCTTCTTCCTCTGTGCTCTATGTTTGCCCCTCTGTAATTTACTACACTTGCAAGGCTTTCTTTACTTAGGAAGGTAGATAGGGAGAAAAAAAAAAAGAGAGAGAGAGAGAGAAAGAGGGAGAAATAGAATCCGGCAGAGGATCAGGTCAATGCAGTGTGCTGCAAAGCAAACTGAGGTCCTGAGTGCTCTCCCAAACCACTGGAAATGCTTACCTATCTATATTAGGGGAATGAAGTCTGGTAGGCTTATTTTGAAGTCCTCTGGTTTTTATAGGGAAATTCATTGAAAAAATAAGAAGGTATTGATTCATATTATCCAYGGACAATTTTTCTGAGAAATGAATCAGTCAAATCATTTCTTTTAATGACCTTTTAAAATTCTGTGGAGACAGGCAGGAAAGCTATATCTAGTTAAATATGTATTTCTTGTTCTAACTTGTACATTAAAAATACTTCAAATTTGTGATATAATATGTTCTATGTATATGATAGGATTTGTGTTAGAGTCCCTTATGTAATAAGGTGTCAAATGTATGCACATTTTAGAATTATTTCATTACTGACTTAGAGAAGACCCACATAATCTTAGATATTGTAATCTTGGATATTATTTCTTTCATCAGTAAAAAGGAAGGGTTGTACAAGCTTCTCCAAATCTCTGTTGTGAAATATCATTTTACTATTTCATGATTATGAGAATTATTGTATCTGTTTTTAAAAGATTTTATTGATCCTGGCTAGAATTTATAGGAATCCAAAGTGAGGTCTTAGAACAGAACCCCAATTACAACATTGTTTCTCAGGGAAAATGGGATCCACTTTATAGTGCTGCTTGGAGGACCACACTGTGCCAAAGATCAGGGTTGCTAGTGCTATGCTTACTTCATAAAAATAGCAACCTTTGGTGTGTACTGGATACATGCTTTTAACAAGTTCCCTCACTCTGTAAAATGGGGAAAAACAGCAGCAGCTTCATTGAGTTGTTGAGGATAAGTAAGGTGTAATAGGTCAATACATAGAAAACATTATGAAAAGTGCCTGGCACAGAGTGCTCAGTAAGTGTTGGCTGAGATTGTGGCATTATTAACACCATTGCTACTGAGCTTCCCGATGATCCGTGAGGAGGCCATAGTGTCCTCTACCTTCTGTATGTGAGCATAAAGCGCGGACATTCCACAACTAGAGCTGGAATGAGAGCCATGCATTTCCACCCTGAGTCATGAAAGTTACAATGACCCAAGTAGGAGAACCTTTTATAAAGCAGTAACTCCATTATTTTAGGACTACCTTTTATTTTTCTTGGCTCTAACTTGCCAAGAGCAATTCTATATGCTGATATGGAAAATCTCAAATATGTCATTAAGTTTTCAAAAGTGCGAAATAGCATAACATGGGTATACTTTAATCCTGGGTATGTTATTTTAAAAAGGGTATTCACATATGCTTTATATGCATAAAAATGTCTGAACCAGACACAGAAGAAATCACTAACAGTGGGTTCCTCTGGAGAATGGGGACTGGTTGTTAGGGAAAATGGAGAGATTTTTACTTTTTATTTTATGCTCTTATATACTATTTGAATTTTTAAAAAATAATTTTTATAAATTTAACTTTTTTTTTAAAAGGGGAAGAAAAATTTAATAACCCATCTCCATAATTCTATAATATACTATTTTCCCAACTCTTGAAAGATGCCTTCCTGTCAAGCAAAAAAAAAAGAAGAAAATAAACTTTGGAAAAAGATACATAGCATACTAAGTCCCCAAGATTGGAGGATCAAAATATATTTTAGTTCATTAAAGGTTATGAATGGCTACAGAAGAGAATCTAGGGTTTTGTTTTTTTTTTTTTTTACTTTTATTACACTTACTACTATCCCATGAAATTCTGTCATATAGCATTAACAGTTTTGGAAAAGCTATAGAAATTTCAGGAAAGGTGACCAGGCCTTAGGTCAACTGCAAGTGGAGGAAAGGTATTGGTTTGTTTAGAAATGGTGGGAAATATCCCTGGTTCTTGAATTCAGGCAAACCTGGGTCCAAATCCCAGGTCTTCCATTCCCTGGGTCTCATAAGCCCAGTTGCCMGACTTCTGGGTGTCAGTGTGCTCACAGGTGAAGAATAATACCTCCCTCATAGAGGCATTTTAGGATTAAATGAGGTAAGTGTCTGGTCTGTACAGGGCACTAGTATTTGCTGCCTGCTGTTCGTCCTCAGCTTCATCTACCTCATGTTACTGCTGCTGCCTGTGTTCATGAATACACATGCTTACCCAAGCAGGAAAATTACTAAAGCACCCCTCATTTATGGAAGCCTTCATTTCAGGTTTTATCTATGGCCAGGCTGTCAGGTAGCAAGTTCTAGCTTTTCCCATGTCCATATCTGACATCTCCATTTACAGATTCCTTTTTCAAGAATGTGTCTTTGGTCCAAGGCAAAGTTCACAGACTCTGGGAGATTGTTGAGAATCCTGTTTCTCTAAAGTTGAGTTAAAAAAGTTAAACTCTAGAAATGCTTTCTGAAATGTCATCCAGGTTTGCTCCCTCCAGGCTTTTCCAGGCCTCCACCCCAGGGTAACCAATCACTCTCCTGTGAATGTCAGTGTTAATTCTCTAACACAGCAAAAACAGTTTTCAGGTTTAAATTTAAAGATGTGTGTGATAAAACATTACCTTTTCAAAGTAACTTTTGCATTATACAGTTGAAAATAATCACCCAAGTGTTACCTGCTTCCCTTCAGTGCCCGGGCAGAGAGAGCTTAAAGTTCAGGAAGTAATAACAAAAGGAATCAGAAGCAGATCTCAGGAACAGCCTCTGAAGACTGTCCCTGTCTGCGCCTAGCCTCTCCCTCCTCCTGGGTGTGTCTGCCCGGGAAGGCCAGTGAGTAACCTGCACATTTTTTTTTTTTCAACTTGGCCCTTCCCACCCAGACGAGAACACTGAGTGGCAGCCAGGCAGGCAGACGGCAAGGAGCCCTGTTCAAGCATGCAAGGAGCACACCTCCACCAGTACCCACGTCTTGGACCCCTGGCCACCACCCCACGCCAGAAGGAGCCCCGGAGAGGAATCTCCAGGGTCCTCTGCTCCCAATGGTAAGGGCTTCCAGCTGCAGGACTGCTTCATTCACTATTTGCTTTATTGTTGGCTTTTCTTTTTTATTGTGTTTGGACAGGAGAGTTTCTGCAAGGATTGAAGGTGTTTGATTTGGTTGGTTAGTTCTTGGTGGTCCCAAAACAAAGAAATGTCTTTTTCCAGTGAGGTTATTAGAACTTGTAACCTGATAGCCTGCCTTGGAACAAAACTTAACAGATAATTACCTTTGATTGGTATAACTTACCCTTTTGGTCCTACAGGGGAAAAAAGCTACTTTGCTTACCAATTAGGTTTTGAGGAAGAAAAAGTGCTAAGGATTGTGGGTATTTTAATACATGGGCAACTCTAATTGAAATGTAGCTTAATTCTTACCAGAGCTTTAAAATAAACCAACATGACATTTTGTTCAAAACAAAACAAGCTAACAAAACCTGTTCAAAGATTTCAATGTAGAATAAGAGATGTCAGAGCTGGAGTTTGAAAAGTATTAAAAGATTAGTTGTTCTAATGAAATGCAAGTGAACTTGGAAGTATTGATTAAGATACCACAGGCGGAAGCCTCTGGTGCTCACGGGAGAGAAATGTCTGATGTTCAATGTGGGATCAAGTGGTATTTGAGAGAGAAAACAGAGATCTTTGTGTAGTGTGTTGAGAATTCCTTGAAGGGAAGGCAAATGGAGGAGGTTTTCTGTGCAGGGCTGATGCCAAGGTCTTCTACCCGATTGCTGTGGATGAGAGGGTAACTCAGAGTAATCAAGTGTCGTATTGTTAACAGACCCCTGTGTTTTTAGTGTTTATTCTAAAGACAAGCCACAGATTGCAACTGGCATGTGAAGGAATAAACTGCTGCCTCTGGTTCCTGACCTAGTCAAAAAATTAATACCTGGGAAGAACTCAAGAAAAATGTTGTAGGCAAGATAAGGCTATGTGTAAAATTAATTTCATTCAAATATTGTAGATATTTGAGACAGCCCTCTTAACAGCCATGAAGAATTACCTCCCAATTATGAATGTAAAGATACTTCGTTAAGAGGGTTTATAGTTTATAAGAGAGTGAAATAGGAAACTGCAGTAGGAATTTCCCAAACCAGAGGCACTGCTGTGACACATGTGGATGTTTGGCTTGTGCCCAGGTGTCTCTGCAAATGCAGTGCAGGTTCATTCTTGGCACCTCCGGGCAAGCAACTTAGGTATTCTCTTTAAGGAGTAACCTGTACCTAACATATCTAGGTTTTTGGAGCAGCAGTGAACAACAGCTAAAAAATAATGTTCTAAGAAGGCATACCTAAACTTTATGGCATGTAAGAAGAACACAAAGTTATCTAAGTGTGAATGTTGGAGGGCATAGAGGCCCAGACAGGGTGAAAAATCTCTCTTCTAAGTTTATGAAGACTACAGTATGTGTTTTGCTGTGAGAATCACTGTGATTATCACTGCTCCTATGGTACTAACATCAAGTTTGCTTCCTTATTGCTTTCGATTCCCCTTGCCTAATTAAAAGCAGAGATTTATTAGCAACCAGTTGGCTAGTGTGTTAGAAGATGATCCGAGTATGCCACTCATTTTGAGACCAAGTAAGCAAGAAGTGAAGGTAGGAACCATTATGATGATTTTTCTGTAGAGTCATGTTTTAAAGTTGTGACTTTCCAGTTATAATTGAAAAGCAAATATACACACTACTAAGCCTCCCATAGAGTTAACAGCACTGATAGCTATTCTGGTTCTCAGGTATTTRCATATTGCATACAACATACTATAGTATAAAAATGTCACCATTACTACCAAACCTGCTTCTCTCCCATATCCAATGTTCAGGAACACAATAGAGTTTAGAAGAGTGTGGGCAATGAATCTTCCCACTGAGGCCTATTCCACATGTTTTCAGAATTTTTTGGCTTTCTTCATAAACCAAATTGATATTGCAATGTCTGCTTGAATCTGGCTTTTCTGAGGCACCTTTACGGTTAATTTAGCATCTTTATGATGAATTTTTAGGCATCTTTATGATGAATTTTTTTACTTCATTGTGTTTTGTATCTACTCTTATTGCTTAGTCTACCAACCAGACTGTAAACTGGATATACAGGAACCAGAGTATGCACTCAGGACAGCTTTGTCTTTGAGCAGGGTATACTTTCTCCTTCCCTCTTGAGAAATTTCCTTCAAAGAGCCTCAGGCACTACCTAGCCTTTGGCCAACTCTACCATCCTGTGTCTCTGGTTTCTGGAGCTATTTTCTCTTCTACCCCCTGCTGTTCCATGCCTCATAAGTAGGTGTTTGAAGACTTTGGCTCTAACCAAAAGGTCAAGGTTTATTCTAAAATAAAGCAACACCTTTGTTATAGAGATGCTGTAAACTACTGCTACATCTCAGTCAGGCTATATATACCTTGGGGCCTAGATTAGGAAAAATAGTTGTGGATTCTGGTTGTTTCCTAAGTGGTAATGGTCAGGGAAATGGAGAGAAGYGAAAGGAGAAAGAAAGAAGAGTGCTTAGTCAGCAGCCCCAGGCGGAAATTATAATTAGCATCAAACTGTAGTCTCCATTAAGCTCTGGTTTCCTGCTTCTCTGTTTGCTGGTCTTATGTGTTATCTTCTCCCTGTAATATTTCTTCTTGTGCTTTGGTGTTCCTCATGTTAATGCCATGCACTTCTTCAGAGGATGTAGCCCTGATGATCATTCTCACAGTCACTTAGGATGTGACTACAGGCACATCCTAAGTCACAGAAATTTGTCCTGAACAGATCCTCAAAAGATTAGCATGTCATCTACATCTTCAAGTACCCCAAAGATGATGCTGAGAATATATAGGTTGCTTTTGCTTTAGTTTGAGAAAGAGATCTTGAGGATTTAGTAAGATGAAATCAAAGAGCTAGAATGAAGAATGTCAGATGAAGTTTTAATATGAGGACTTTATGTCTTTTTGAGATGAAAGTGAAAACTTTGGCCCTCACTTAGAAATCTCATTTGGCTAGAGGTTATATTTTTCTCTTATTATACTGTATAATATAGATTGATTTGCAAAAATTATCCCAATTATTCTCTTCTTTTAATCTATTCCCTTGCAACATGACTTTCTGGCTCCTCTTATCAAGTGGTAAAGTCTGTTTCCCCAGCCACTGAATCTTGGCTTGGCTTTATTACTTGTTTTGACCAGGAGAATGTGCAGAAGTAATGTTAGTCCCCAGTCTCAGTTTGAAGGCAGCCTCTCATACTTCTGCTTATTCTCCTGGAATCCAAGTCAGTCATCATGTAGAAACTCCTGGGCACTCTTGCTGTGACCCAGAGATCCTGTCACCCAATTGACAGTGATTCTATATTAGACATGGAAATGAGGAAATCCTAAACCAGCCAGCTGTCCTCAGACACTTGAATGGGTCCAGCAGAGATCAGAAAAACCTATCCAGATCTAAAGACTCATGAGCAATAACACTTATTGTTTTAAGCTGCTGAGTTTGGAGTGGTTTGTTAAGCTAATCATGACTGATACATTTGGTGATCTGGATCCTGGTACCTTGTGTTCACTGTTGGGTCTATTAATGTCAAACACTTAGTTTAACACAGCAGAAAAGATTAAATCAGTGGATGAAGAGGTTCTATTAAATGAGGGGAAGGTCCTCAGTTCTTATGATTGTCAGCATTATTTTGAGGTGTTTTTTAATAACAGAGGCCTAGGCCTTGTGCTAGAATATTCTGTCAGATATCTGTAGATGGAGTCAAGGAATTTGTAATTTACAAAGGCCTGGTGATTGGCCAGAATTAAAAACTAATAATGCAGTGGTTTGTCCATTCTTTGGATTACTAAAAGATGCAATGATCCAGTTCACCCAGTATTTAAGCAAATAACACTCAKTTGATTTAGGGGTTCTTACTGACCTATATACTTTCAGCCATAGAAATAAACTTTATTATTCCTCTGTATAAAAGCACATTAATCCTGATAATGGTTGGAAACATCATAGGTGAAGGAAGACCTATGGCTAGAATTATGTATCATTTACCATTGTATCCCCTGGAGCTTAGAACATGGCATGGACTCATGAATAAATTTTGGTTATTGGGAAGGTAATGGAACTCTGTTTTGAGGACTTCACAGTCTAATAAGAAAACTATTAGAGATTTATTACTTATTATGTATTAAGAAAACAAAGCAAATGATATTTTAACCCCAAAACTACATTTATTGCCTGTAGTTGTATCTGTGTGTGTATCTATTGTTGCTATGATAATACTGCATTACAAACAACTAGAAAATATCAGTGGCATCAACAATGTTCATTTCTTAACCCTTGTGTCTGCAGGTTGAAGGGGAAAATTGGTTTGTTCTTATCTGGCTCAGATGGGGGTGGCTTCTTCTGTTTCCCTTGTCCTAGCCCCAGCACCAGCTACTAGCTTGTCATGTTCTGGTGATGGAAGGGGTAAGAGCACAAGCCACCCATGCAAGCTCATTACAAGCTTTTGATTATGTCATAAATCCATTAACATCATATTGGTCAAAGCAAGTCACATAGCCAAGTCCAATATCAAAGGGCAGGGAAACATTAATTTTTTTAGCAAGATGAATGACAAAATCTTGTTGGGTCAAAGGAAATGGTTTCAGAAGGGGTGAATAAATAGGACTACTGAAGTATTCTCCCCTTTTCTGGGGGAGGGGTCTAGGAAGGAGTTGTACCTTTTCCTTCTTTGGAAGGATCATGGAGTCATAGTTGGATCCTAGAAGAACCAAGAGGCAGAAAAGAGTCCATCTTCTAGAGCCACCTGCTTCTTATGATGTGGAAGTGAACATTGGATTCATTGCTACTCTGATTGATCTGATGGAATTTCAAAGGGAAGGGAATGCCTGAAGGTAACTCAAGTTTGATGTTTTCAGATGCCATTGGAATTCCTGTAGAATGCCTCTTTTCCATTCCACCCCATCCTCCAAAATGTAAAGGTCGTGGGTCCTTGGCTTTGGCTGTTCCCTATCCAGTTCCAGGAGGGCTATTACTTGGGTGGAGTT